AAACATTTGAAGTTATTGAATGAATACTAGTGGTGAGTGCAGTACTAATGATTGTAGGCTCTGGTCAAATCAAGGTTTATTTTACTATAAATACAATTAATACTTAGGTACAGTTGAAGTCGGTAGTTTACATACACCTTAGCCAAATACATTTAAACTCAGTTTTTCACAATTCCTGACATTTAATCCTAGTAAAAAGTCCCTGTCTTAGGTCAGTTAGGATAACCACTTCATTTTAAGAATGTGAAATGTCAGAATAATAGTAGAATGATTTATTTAAGCTTTTATTTATTTCATCACATTCACAGTGGGTCAGAAGTTGACATACACTCAATTAGTATTTGGTAGCATTGCCTTTAAAATTGTTTAACTTGGGTCAAACGTTTCAGGTAGCCTTCCACAAGCTTCCCACAATAAGTTGGGTGAATTTTGGCCCATTCCTCCTGACAGAGCTGGTGTAACTGAGTCAAGTTTATAGGCCTCCTTGTTCGCTTTTTCAGTTCTGCCCACACATTTTCTATAGGATTGAGGTCAGGGCTTTGTGATGGCCATTCCAATACCTTGACTTTGTTGTCCTTAAACCATTTTGCCACAACTTTGGAAGTATGCTTGGGGTCATTGTCCATTTGGAAGACCCATTTGCGACCAAGCTTTAACTTCCTGACTGATGTCTTGAGATGTTGCTTCAATATATCCACATAATTTTCCTTCCTCATGATGCCATCTATTTTGTGAAGTGCACCAGTCCCTCCTGCAGCAAAGCACCCCCACAGAATGATGCTGCCACCCCCGTGCTTCACGGTTGGGATGGTGTTCTTCGGCTTGCAAGCACCCCCTTTTTCCTCCAAACATAACGATGGTCATTATGGCCAAACAGTTATATTTCTGTTTCATCAGACCAGAGGGCATTTCTCCAAAAAGTACGATCTTTGTCCCCATGTGCAGTTGCAAACCGTAGTCTGGCTTTTTTATGGCGGTTTTGGAGCAGTGGCTTCTTCCTTGCTGAGCGGCCTTTCAGGTTATGTCGATATAGGACTTGTTTTACTGTGGATATAGATACTTTTGTACCTGTTTCCTCCAGCATCTTCACAAGGTCCTTTGCTGTTATTCTGGGATTGATTTGCACTTTTCGCACCAAAGTACGTTCATCTCTAGGAGACAGAACACGTCTCCTTCCTGAGTGGTATGACGGCTGCGTGGTCCCATGGTGTTTATACTTGCGTACTATTGTTTGTACAGATGAACATGGTACCTTCAGGCGTTTGGAAATTGCTCTCAAGGATGAACCAGACTTGTGGAGGTCTACAAAAAATGTTCTGAGGTCTTGCCTGATTTCTTTTCATTTTCCCATAATTTCAAGCAAAGAGGCATTGAATTTGAAGGTAGGCCTTGAAATACATCCACAGGTACACCTCCAATTGACTCAAATTATGTCAATTAGCCTATCAGAAGCTTCTAAAGCCATGACATCATTTTCTGGAATTTTCCAAGCTGTTTAAAGGCACAGTCAAACTTCTGCCCCACTGGAATTGTAATACAGTGAATTATAAGTGAAATAATCTGTCTGTAAACAATTGTTGAAAAAATTACTTGTGTCATGCACAAAGTAGATGTCCAAACCGACTTGCCAAAACTATAGTTTGTTAACAAGAAATTTGTGGAGTAGTTGAAAAAACGAGTTTTAATGACTCCAACCTAAGTGTTTGTAAACTTCCGACTTCAACTGTATGTCTAGATATAGCTAGGTAAATACTGACAGCTAATTATTACTAATCACTGAATTATAATTGCCACCTTGGGTATTTTATGACTAGCTTATCAATATGTCACTTACACCGCGCTTAAGAAAAAATACCTCTGTATTTTTCATTTATTTTGCAAACCTTTTTGAATTAAAAAAATGAGACAGTATATATTATAAATGCATATTGCAGTAGAAGAAAAATGTGAAGTCATCTTACTCTGTTAGATTAACATGAGGAGTTCCTAAAGATGATACTTTATGTTTCTAGTATTAGCCGACAGTACTTATTTGTCTTTAATTAATCATACACTTATGTTTGTTCCCTCTACACATAAAGCAAGGACCAAGACAAGTGTTCCAATATAATCTTACAGACACCATTTTACATGATCAAGACTTAATGTAATCTTCCTGCACACAGTTAGCTTTTAGTGTTAGCATGAAGCCCCTATGACTCCATCTGTGTGATTACCCACAAGGCAGTGGGGGGGGGGGAGACATTTGTAGCAGCTCTCTGGACAAATGTTCGGTAGTGTCACAGACTAGTGTCATCATAGTTCTTGGTGTAGGTCCTGATTTGAGTCATGTCGGTCAAACCGGAAGTGCACTGGCAAGCGATTGCAATCGCAACTGACAAAGGTGCCCATTTTTTCAGTATGTACTTTACAATCTTGCACACATAGTAGCAAAACACTCAGCAAGCAGACAATGACTCAGTAGTAGTTGATCACTGTCCTCAGACACAGAAAACATGATAATACTCAAAATAAGGCCAAAATCTACAAGGGGAAAAAGGGAATACCTGGGATGAGTTTAAATAGCAAACATGATTGGCGCAACATCGGGTGGTTGTATATTCCTCCCCCTACTACATAGGAATTCATTTTGACAAATTAATTAGCACATGTTTCACCTGAAAGATTGCAGTAACAGACATGACCACCTCATTTAGCCTAAACGGTATCCCACATTAAACAAATACTATAGCGTATACTATGGTAGGAATACTATAGTATTCACTGTAGAGTTTTTGCTGTCTTTATTGTAGTATTCACTGAAGTCTGCAAAAACACTACAGTGAATCCTGTAGTATTTATTGCAGTATACTATAGTATTTACAGTTTACTACAGTATAAATAATGTAGTAAAAAAAGAGTAGTATATACTAATATTATACTAGTAATTACTGTCTTTCTGCAGACTGTAGTGCGGTATACTTTGGTATTTAATGTAGTGTTTTCACAGACTGTAGTATACTGTAGTATTTACTGTAGTGTTTTTGGGAACATTGCTGTAGTATTTACTGAAGCGTTTTTGTTTTACAATCTTTGACATAGAAGTAGGGGGCTTTCTCCTTGAGGAAACCTACTGGAGAAATACTAAAAGAGCAAATGTTCCATAACCTGTAGGTAGTTAGGATTAGGTTCTGAACGGAGAGTTCAGAGCTTCTGCTCTTTTTGATAACCATACATGGCATGAATACTGAACAAATATATGAATGCAACATGTAAAGTGTTGATCCCATGTTTCATAAGCTGAAATAAAAGATCGCCAAAAATGTCCATACGCACAAAAAGTTTATTTCTGTCAAATTGTGTGCACAAGTTTGTTTACATCCCTGTTAGTGAGCATTTCTACTTTGCCAAGATAATCCATTCACCTGACAGGTGTTGCATATCAAAAAGCTGATTAAATAGCATGATTTATACACAGGTGCACCTTGTGCTGGGGACAATAAAAGGCCACTCTAAAAGGAGCAGTTTTGTCACACAACACAACGCCACAGATGTCTCAAGTTTTGAGGGAGCATGCAATTGCCATGCTGACTGCAGGAATGTCCACCAGAGCTGTTGCCAGAGAATGTAATGTTAAGTTCTCTACCATAAGCCACCTCCAACGTCGTTTTAGAGAATTTGGCAGTATGTCCAACCGGCCTCACAACCGCAGACCACATGTAACCACGCCAGCCCAGGACCTCCACATCCGGCATCTTCACCTGCGGGATCGTCTGAGACCAGCCACCCGGACAGCTGATGAAACTGAGGAGTATTTCTGTCTGTAATAAAACCCTTTTGTGGGGATAAACTCATTATAATTGGCTGGGCCTGGCTCCCAAGTGGGTGAGTCTATGCCCTCCCAGGCCCACCCATGGCTGCGCCCCTGCCCAGTCCTGTGAAATCCATAGATTAGGGCCAAATTTATTTATTTCAATTGACTGATTTCCTTATATGAACTGTAACTCACTAAAACCGTTGAAATTGTTGCATTGTTTGTTTATATTTTGGTTCAGTATAGGTTTCTCACTTACAGGTGGCACAAATTGGGATATGGAGGAGGGGAATGGACAGGGTATATACAAATACTATAGTAAAAAAAAAAAAGTTTTTGCAAACTGTAGTGTTTGTGCAGACATTTCTGTAGTATTTACTATACTATACTACAGTATACTACAAAATGATATACTAAGTACTACACATGATCGAGGGATACTACAGTGTGTAGTGTAGTATTCTACAGCATCCTACAGAATTTTACAGTAAGTACTGGAGCATTCTATAGTAAACTGTAGTATTTTGTCATACGTGGGATATTTTTCCAGCGGATTTGCTTCAGTCAATGAGTACGGTCCATTAGTTTGTACAGAGGTGAGTCCAGACAAACAAAATTATGTATCGTTTGAGTGTTTCCTCTAAAAATAAAATTGCTTAGCATGACACAGCTGAAGACATCGAGGGTGGACTGACTGCATGTTAGTAATGCGCCGTTAACCTGGGAAATCCACAAAATGCGGACTACTGGCTGTTCTAATGATTAGCATTACCAGTTACTGAGACGTGGTGGCCTTTTGGTGCTTGGTCTCAGGATAGAGTCTAGATTTTTTTTAGAGGCCACATGCCTTCCAGTTTGAGCTAAGCTAAGCTATAGGCTAAGCTACGAGACACTGTGCAAGAGCGCGCTAGCATGGGCTGTGCACGGTTGGCGTATCAGCGTACTGAAAGAAGTAAGGCCAGGTTAAGAGTCCCATTCCTGGCTGTAGGATGAGAGAGAGCGATAGAGGGCGAGAGAGAGAGAGAAAGAGAAAAAGAAAGAGAGGCTCGAACTCCAAAACTCAGCAGAGGGGGAAACGGACTTGTCCAAGTGACTGGGGGAGGGGACAGTGTGGAAACCAGCCTCTCGATTTGTCACCAGCATAAGCTGGTGCAGGGAAGGGGTGAATAAGACAACACCACTAAGTGGAACGTCAGGGGAGGGGGGGTTAGTCAAAAGTCTCCCACTTACCCCGAAGGACTTCCACCTTCTTTTTAGGGGGTGCGACGGCCGGCTTGGCCATGGCCAGTAGGTCCTCAAAGGGGTCCTGAGTCTCGGATTCCTCTGTACTGTTGGGAGGCTTAGGCAGTACCCTAGGGGCGGGAGCTGAGGGGAAGTTCAAAAGGCTGGAGAGAGCGTGGTGGCTGCCTGAGGAGGTGGGGGGAGGACCGCCATGATTGGGGAAGGCAGGCCGCATAGAGCCTATGCCAGGGGGGAGGCTGGACCCTCCAGGAGAGGACAGTCTGTAGAGCCCCGTAATTGTGGAGAGAGGGTGAGGAGGGTGACCATGGGGGGTGGCATGGAAATAGGCAGAGGCAGGAGGCCTGTATGCACCTCCACTGAAGGGGTTCCCCGCCACTGTGGGCGAGTAGTGTCTGTGGGTAGGGTAGCCGAGGGGTGCGGTGAAGGGGTTGAGCGGCATGTGTTGGTGGAAGGGGGGCAGGCTCTGGGGATAGGGCAGTGGCGGGAAAACGGTCCTGAAGGATGGAGGGGCAGCACCGGTCGGGGAGTCTGCTCCTTCCCCTGCTGAGGGAGGGGTGGTGGTGGTTTGGGCTGGGTTGTTCAGGGGGTCCAGGAGGCTGAGCAGATCCACGTCCTCCCCTTCACTGAAGTCTATCTTGGTGGGCTGCAGCATCAGGTCACCCCCCATCCCAAGGGCCTGCCGGAACTCCTGCCCCCCTGCCGTGGTGGTCCCACCCTCCCCGGCCGCTCCTGGCTTGGTTTGTGGCTCGGGCATCGGTGGCGCACCCAAGACCTTCCCTGGCTCTGGGGTTTTCCTTCCCTGGGGGCGGGGGATGGTGATGCACCCCCCTTGGCTAGGGGTGGTGGAGAGATCCAGCCGTGGCTCCTCAAGCTCAGGGGGGGGCACGGACAGGGGTCGGTCCCAGTTCGGAGACAACCGGCCGGCCAAGGCCATGTCATCCTGCCCATGCATGCGCCACATCTTGTTGTAAGGGTTGGAGTGCTTGAGGCCTGGAAGGGTGCACGTACGCTCACTGCCGCTCAGGTCCATCCGCTAGAGAGGGAAGACACAAGAAAACAAAACAGCTAATAACCAGTATTATCAAGAGCTGTGTAACATCACAAGTATAGATATTGGACCACAGAAGTCTTTTAAAAAATGTTGGCCCGCGGACTGGGAGTTTCAGACCCCTGAAATAGATATTTGATCCAGGTCTGTAGCCACCACGGGCCACGTGCCCTCTGGTACCTGGTAGTTGAATTTATGCTGCTCCTGGGGGTCTTTGGGTGTGCGGAGGTCCTCCAGGCTCCTGGCCAGGCTGAGCTGCTGGCCTTCGGGCTCATCCAAGCAGCTGAACATGTCCCCCAGCAGGTTGATGTCCGCAAACATCTCCATCACCGGGCTGGGTGGGGCCGTGTAGGAGGGGCCGCTGACGGGCTCCTCTGCAAACTCTGCCTCCTTCAGGGAGCGGTAAGGCTGCGGCCTGTTGGAAGGATTGTTCCATTAGTTACATGCATGTGTGCACAACATAATTAATATTGTCACATACAATACAATAAACTGTTGACAGGACGCTCTAGCAATTACATTATTATAGTCCCGGCACAGAGATACAATTAACTTACATTCTTTATCTACACCTGCATGACTGAGGCCTGCTTTTTTTTTAGCTACAATATAAGCTACTATTGCAGCAAATAAAACCATTTAATTGCAAAGGGGTGAAAAATAATTTGAGAGATGGACCACCAATCATAATGCAGACAGCAGAAAGAGATAAGGCTTTAGCCAATTGGAAATCAATCAAAGAGAAAACAAAGGAAGAGTGGCAGATCAGCCACCCAACCATGCTTCCAGCTGGGCCGAGATAAGTCAATTAACGAAGCACTACAATGAAGCAAATGCATGATCATTGGTAGGAGTGCAGCGTACAGGGGTGACCATTCGAACGGGGCGGAGAAGAGAACGTTTTCGGGGAAGCCGGCGATGGAGTCGTCTTCGTGCTGCAGCTCGTCGCCTGAGGAGTCCTCGGACAGAAAGACTGTGTAGTGACGTGTGGGACGGACACAACTGGGGAAGGTAGATAAGTAGAGAGAAAGGGAATGACAGAGATAGAAAAGGAAGGAGAGATATCCCATTTCACACACAGAGCAGCGAGAGAGAGAGGAGTAAAGAGAGACACACAGAAAGAAAGTTGTATCTGAATCATTTTCAGATGATTTTGTCTGAAATTTGATCTTTAATAAATCATAACTGTTCATTTATGTATGTATGACTGATAGATATGGAATGGAATGTTTTCATTTGATCAAACAATTTCTTTGTTTTTAATGAGGTGAAAGAAAGGGAGAGATGACTGAATAAGAGGGAAGGAGAGATGGTTTCAGAAAGGCCACACGAAAGCTGAGTCTTAGCCGGTGACATATTTTTCTTAATTGATAAATACTGAACAATCCTACAACTTATTTTCAGTCAGGAGCTCCACTTATGATCAATTAGCAGCATAGGCCACAAGAAGGCAGCAAACATCTGTAGACTTTACCAACCGGAAGGATCTATTTTAACAAACCTAATGCAATGGTACATCTTAGCGCTGGCGGTAGCGCTATAGATCCGGGGGTGTGTCAGAAATATTTTTGCTATTTTCATAGCTGGTGATGGCGCGAAAGGGCTGGGTTTTGATGAATAAATAAATTGTACGTGTGACTGGCCAATCAACTTTTACTTTTGTATTTTTTGTATTTATTAAGGATCCCCATTAGCTGCTGGGCAAAATAGAAAACGATAGACAATTTTTTTCACCTCTTCCACTTTAAGGAATGCTTATCTTTCATAATTTGGTCAGTTATGCATGGATGTGTACGTTCAAATTTTTTAGTTGGCATGTCATACCTACGTTTGCTAATCTTGCCAATGTAAAACTTATTAAAGTAGTTTGCAATATCAGTGGGTTTTGTGACCATCTGAGTTCATCTTTTTGGCCAAAATATTATCTATGGTGCTCCAGAGCCATTCATTATCATTCATCATTCTTTATATAATTTATCTTTATCATAGTATAGTTTTTTATTTTTGTTTAGTTTAGTCACATGATTTCTCAATTAACAGCATGTTTGCCGATCAGCTGTGCAGCTAGACTTATTTGCCATTCCTTTTGCCTCATACCTCTCAACCATACAATTTTCCAATTCTTAATCAATCCACGGGGATTTAACAGTTTTTACAGTAATTTTCTTAATGGTGCATGCTTATTAGTAACTGGAATAAGTAATTTCATAAATGCATAAAGTGCACCATCTGGTTGCTCCTCATTACACACCACAGACCAGCAAATATTACTTACATCATCAACTAGGAATCACTACAAAACCTCTTGTATGATCTCTTGTATGCAACTCAACCTCTTGTATGCAAGCCAATATTAGGAAGGTGTTCCTAATGTTTGGTATACTCTGTGTATGTTATTGTGGGCTATTTTTAGCGCTTTACTGGGATGCTTGATTGTTTTTATTGCTTTACTGGGAGGCTTATGAGAAGTACACACACGTAATATGTATGCACGCATGACTAAGTCGCTTTGGATAAAAGCGTCTGCTAAATGGCATATACTATATTATTATTTATATTATAGGTAGACATGACAGTGATGTTTATGTTTGAGCTGATGGTGCAGGGTGAACTGCAAATAGTGGGCTTCCTACTAGGGCAAACCGCCTCAGTGCTAACAGTATAACGCGTATGATTACTGCTGTAGGATTGAAAGAGGCATTCAGGGAAGTTAGAGGAGCATAAATTAGGTTACTTACAGTGGGGGAAAAAAGTATTTAGTCAGCCACCAATTGTGCAAGTTCTCCCACTTAAAAAGATGAGAGAGGCCTGTCATTTTCATCATAGGTACACGTCAACTATGACAGACAAAATGAGGAAAGAAAAATCAGAAAATCACATTGTAGGATTTTTAATGAATTTATTTGCAAATTATGGTGGAAAATAAGTATTTGGTCAATAACAAAAGTTTCTCAATACTTTGTTATATACCCTTTGTTGGCAATGACACAGGTCAAACGTTTTCTGTAAGTCTTCACAAGGTTTTCACACACTGTTGCTGGTATTTTGGCCCATTCCTCCATGCAGATCTCCTGTAGAGCAGTGATGTTTTGGGGCTGTCGCTGGGCAACACAGACTTTCAACTCCCTCCAAAGATTTTCTATGGGGTTGAGATCTGGAGACTGGCTAGGCCACTCCAGGACCTTGAAATGCTTCTTACGAAGCCACTCCGTTGCCCGGGCGGTGTGTTTGGGATCATTGTCATGCTGAAAGACTCAGCCACGTTTCATCTTCAATGCCCTTGCTGATGGAAGGAGGTTTTCACTCAAAATCTCATGATACATGGCCCCATTCATTCTTTCCTTTACACGGATCAGTCGTCCTGGTCCCTTTGCAGAAAAACAGCCCCAAAGCATGATGTTTCCACCCCCATGCTTCACAGTAGGTATAGTGTTCTTTGGATGCAACTCAGCATTCTTTGTCCTCCAAACACGATGAGTTGAGTTTTTACCAAAAAGTTCTATTTTGGTTTCATCTGACCATATGACATTCTCCCAATCCTCTTCTGGATCATCCAAATGCACTCTAGCAAAGTCCAGACGGGCCTGGACATGTACTGGCTTAAGCAGGGGGACACGTCTGGCACTGCAGGATTTGAGTCCCTGGCGGCGTAGTGTGTTACTGATGGTAGGCTTTGTTACTTTGGTCCCAGCTCTCTGCAGGTCATTCACTAGGTCCCCCCGTGTGGTTCTGGGATTTTTGCTCACCGTTCTTGTGATCATTTTGACCCCACAGGGTGAGATCTTGCGTGGAGCCCCAGATCGAGGGAGATTATCAGTGGTCTTGTATGTCTTCCATTTCCTAATAATTGCTCCCACAGTTGATTTCTTCAAACCAAGCTGCTTACCTATTGCAGATTCAGTCTTCCCAGCCTGGTGCAGGTCTACAATTTTGTTTCTGGTGTCCTTTGACAGCTCTTTGGTCTTGGCCATAGTGGTGTTTGGAGTATGACTGTTTGAGGTTGTGGACAGGTGTCTTTTATACTGATAACAAGTTCAAACAGGTGCCATTAATACAGGTAACGAGTGGAGGACAGAGGAGCCTCTTAAAGAAGAAGTTACAGGTCTGTGAGAGCCAGAAATCTTGCTTGTTTGTAGGTGACCAAATACTTATTTTCCACCATAATTTGCAAATAAATTCATAAAAAATCATACAATGTGATTGTCTGGATTTTTTTTCCTCAATTTGTCTGTCATAGTTTATGTGTACCTATGATGAAAATTACAGGCCTCTCTCATCTTTTTAAGTGGGAGAACTTGCACAATTAGTGGCTGACTAAATACTTTTTTCCCCCACTGTACATTAAGACGGCCTACACTCCTGGGACAATGTTTGCTGAACAAAAATATAAACACAACATGTAAAATGTTGGTCCAATGTTTCATGAGCTGAAATAAAAGATCAGAGAAATATTCCATACCTACAAAAAAGCTTATTTCTCTCAAATTGTGTGCACAAATGTGTTTACATCCCTGTAAGTGAGCATTTCTCCTTAGGTGGATGGATTACAGTGGGGAGAACAAGTATTTGATACACTGCCGATTTTGCAGGTTTTCCTACTTACAAAGCATGTAGAGGTCTGTAATTTTTATCATAGGTACACTTCAACTGTGAGAGACGGAATCTAAAACAAAAATGCAGAAAATCACATTGTATGATTTTTAAGTAATTAATTAGCATTTATTGCATGACATAAGTATTTGATCACCTACCAACCAATAAGAATTCCGGCTCTCACAGACCTGTTAGTTTTTCTTTAAGAAGCCCTCCTGTTCTCCACTCATTACCTGTATTAACTGCACCTGTTTGATCTCATTACCTGTATAAAAGACACCTGTCCACACACTCAATTAAACAGTCTCCAACCTCTCCACAATGGCCAAGACCAGAGAGCTGTGTAAGGACATCAGGGATAAAATTGTAGACCTGCACAAGGCTGGGATGGGCTACAGGACAATAGGCAAGCAGCTTGGTGAGATGGCAACAACTGTTGGCGCAATTATTAGAAAATGGAAGAAGTTCAAGATGACGGTCAATCACCCTCAGTCTGGGGCTCCATGCAAGATCTCACCTCGTGGGGCATCAATGATCATGAGGAAGGTGAGGGATCAGCCCAGAACTACACGGCAGGACCTGGTCAATGACCTGAAGAGAGCTGGGACCACAGTCTCAAAGAAAACCATTAGTAACACACTACGCCGTCATGGATTAAAATCCTGCAGCGCACGCAAGGTCCCCCTGCTCAAGCCAGCGCATGTCCAGGCCCATCTGAAGTTTTCCAATGACCATCTGGATGATCCAGAGGAGGAATGGGATAAGGTCATGTGGTCTGATAAGACAATAATAGAGCTTTTTGGTCTAAACTCCATTCGCCG